GCTGAAAATGAGGCACACTTCCTCAAAGGTTGGGAGCTGTCAGAATTTGAACAGGGGTTCTTTGTTGCATGTAGAAAATGGGAAGAGGGCCCCCAAACACAGAAGTGGATTAGTCAAGTCATTGCTAAAATACTAGCCTAAATTAAAATACTGGTATTGTACTAATGCTATTTCCTAGTTCTAGAGAGATGTGTGCAGCATGGCCTTCTGCTCTTACTGTAAGCAAAGGTTGGGAGCTGTCAGAATTTGAACAGGGGTTCTTTGTTGCATGTAGAAAATGGGAAGAGGGCCCCCAAACACAGAAGTGGATTAGTCAAGTCATTGCTAAAATACTAGCCTAAATTAAAATACTGGTATTGTACTAATGCTATTTCCTAGTTCTAGAGAGATGTGTGCAGCATGGCCTTCTGCTCTTACTGTAAGCAGGCAGTATTCCACCTGTGGATGTCTTCCATACTGTGTGTTTCGGGGTTTTTTAAAGATACGGTAGCTGTTGGAATATGAGCTAACCTGTTTGCGTATGAAGAAAGGGGCACTTGAGAGACATTTATTTGTCAACCATCAGACCTTCTATTACAGTTTTGTCAAGATTCCCCTACTTGAGACCTTACATGTATACAGGGGGTGTACTTTGTTTTTCACTGTACTCAAGCTAAGTCCTTCTGATCAGAGCAGAACAGAGCGGCATTATAACGGCAAGTTCGGGACTTGTATCAAATAACTTCCAGCAACAATACCTGCTTCTTGCAACCTCTTTTTTTCCTTGAAATAATATTAGCCTGATGTTGAGATTAAAATTAGCTTAAAACTAGCTCCCTTCAGTAGGGGAAACTAGTTCACAAACATATGGAAGGAAGGCAGTGGGGAGGAACCGGGGAACTACTGTATTGTTTGTTTCCTGACAAAGATGATTGTTTTCCTTTAGGTCCGATTTGCTGCTCTGCTTGCTTTGGTAGAAGTTGCACAGAAACTGAAGGAGAACTACCTGATCCTGCTACCAGAATCTATTCCGTTCTTAGCCGAGCTCATGGAAGGTAAAGTTCTAAAGGGACGTTAGCGAAGTCAGAGAACTGGCCTATGACCAAAAAAAGGGCCGCTTACATCAAAGACTCAGACAGGATGATTGCTGTAATTGCTGTAACTCCTATAAATTGGTACACGGTAGCTTGAACTGTGCAGGGTGTAAACCTGGATGGATTTTATCCAACACACTCCTAAAGTTCAGTTAGATTACAGCAGTTTCTTCAGTGTTACAGCCTGTGCACATCTCCCCAGTTGCACGTTTTAGATCATTGTGACAGCAGAAATTATTCACCTGAAATCCTGAGTCAGTGTCAATGTATTTTGGAATAATTATTTCATACCTGGTGTTTGAAGACCATTGTAGCCTTGACAAGTGATGAAGCCTTCCTAGGGTAGCTTTGTAATTGCTATTCTACTTCA